GCGTCGCAAGAAAAAGAGGGACGACGCCTCGGCGCCTCGCGGCCGCACACGTCAGCCACGCAACACGAGCGAAGTACACCTACACCAGTAGTTCTCAACCTTAGGGTCGCGACCCCAAGCGGGCTCGCGAAATTTTTTTAAGGGGTCGCGGCGATGCTGGAGTCGTGTTTTAGGCCGATTTTAAGCAGCCACTGCGTCTGATCCGAGGCGGGCATTTTGCTCCCTCAACGGGCAATCGGTCTTTGGACCTTCCTTTAGCATGACTTTGTTACGGAGTGCAATTATCAGTCTTAGTTTGGGAGCAGTATTGTCTCAAAGTTGGCCGAAACGCTCAGAAATGTCTATGAAAAATCGTGTTTTGGGCCGATTTTAAGCAGCCACTGCGTCTGATCCGAGGCGGGCATTTTGCTCCCTCAACGGGCAATTGGTCTTTGGACCTTCCTTTAGCATGCCTTTGTTACGGAGTGCGATTATCAGTCTTAGTTTGGGAGCAGTATTGTCTCAAAGTTGGCCGAAACGCTCAGAAATGTCTATGAAAAATCGTGTTTTGAGCCGATTTTAAGCAGCCACTGCGTCTGATCCGAGGCGGGCATTTTGCTCCCTCGACGGGCAGTTGGTCTTTGGACCTTCCTTTAGCATGCCTCTGTTACGGAGTGCGATTATCAGTCTTAGTTTGGGAGCAGTATTGTCTCAAAGTTGGCCGAAACGCTCAGAAATGTCTATGAAAAATCGTGTTTTGTGCCGATTTTAAGCAGCCACTGCGTCTGATCCGAGGCGGGCATTTTGCTCCCTCAACGGGCAATTGGTCTTTGGACCTTCCTTTAGCATGCCTTTGTTACGGAGTGCGATTATCAGTCTTAGTTTGGGAGCAGTATTGTCTCAAAGTTGGCCGAAACGCTCAGAAATGTCTATGAAAAATCGTGTTTTGGGCCGATTTTAAGCAGCCACTGCGTCTGATCCGAGGCGGGCATTTTGCTCCCTCAACGGGCAGTTGGTCTTTGGACCTTCCTTTAGCATGCCTCTGTTACGGAGTGCGATTATCAGTCTTAGTTTGGGAGCAGTATTGTCTCAAAGTTGGCCAAAACGCTCAGAAATGTCTATGAAAAATCGTGTTTTGGGCCGATTTTAAGCAGCCACTGCGTCTGATCCGAGGCGGGCATTTTGCTCCCTCGACGGGCAATTGGTCTTTGGACCTTCCTTTAGCATGCCTTTGTTACGGAGTGCGATTGTCAGTCTTAGTTTGGGAGCAGTATTGTCTCAAAGTCGATCAAAACGGTCGCAAGTGTCTTTGAAAAATCGTTGTGACTATTTTGGTCAACTTTGAGACAATACTGCTCCCAAACTAAGACTGATAATCGCACTCCGTAACAGAGGCATGCTAAAGGAAGGTCCAAAGACCAATTGCCCGTTGAGGGAGCAAAATGCCCGCCTCGGATCAGACGCAGTGGCTGCTTAAAATCGGCCCAAAACACGATTTTTCATAGACATTTCTGAGCGTTTCGGCCAACTTTGAGACAATACTGCTCCCAAACTAAGACTGATAATCGCACTCCGTAACAAAGGCATGCTAAAGGAAGGTCCAAAGACCAATTGCCCGTTGAGGGAGCAAAATGCCCGCCTCGGATCAGACGCAGTGGCTGCTTAAAATCGGCCCAAAACACGATTTTTCATAGACATTTCTGAGCGTTTCTGCCAACTTTGAGACAATACTGCTCCCAAACTAAGACTGATAATCGCACTCCGTAACAGAGGCATGCTAAAGGAAGGTCCAAAGACCAACTGCCCGTTGAGGGAGCAAAATGCCCGCCTCGGATCAGACGCAGTGGCTGCTTAAAATCGGCCCAAAACACGATTTTTCAAAGACACTGCTGACCGTTTCGGCCAACTTTGAGACAATACTGCTCCCAAACTAAGACTGATAATTGCACTCCGTAACAAAGGCATGCTAAAAGAAAGGTCCAAAGACCAACTGCCCGTTGAGGGAGCAAAATGCCCGCCTCGGATCAGACGCAGTGGCTGCTTAAAATCGGCCCAAAACACGATTTTTCAAAGACACTGCTGACTGTTTCGGCCAACTTTGAGACAATACTGGAGACAATAAAGGAGGGGTCCCGTGGGGTCACGACATTTTTCCTGGGGGTCGCGGAAATTTTTGGCTTCAAATTTGGGGTCGCGAGCCGAGAAAGGTTGAGAACCGCTGACCTACACTCTAACTACTTCGAAACTTGCAGGCCAGCGCATCACCTCTATTGGAGAACTTCTGTACACCCAAATTATGATCAAATTATTTTACAGGGGACTCAAAGTGTTAGCAAATGCCGTTTGCTTAAAAAACAAAAAAAAACTGTTTTTAAGTACATTTTTAGAAGATCTGCATTTTGAAGATTTTATCGTGAAATTTGCAAGGATATTTTTCATTTTTTACGTCTATTTTCCTTTTTTGCCCGCCCACAGTCCGTTTGACGGCGGCAAAACAGGCAGAGTGATAAATCGCTCGTGCAGCCGGCCCGGCGCGGCATGACAAGAACTGACAAGAACAGACAAAATCCCTTTCCCCTCCCTTCCCAGTGCTCAGCTCCGCGGTTACGTTTTTCGCCTGAAGAGGGCGCTGCTGACTGCACCCACGGCCCCGCGCCACGCCACGCCAGTCGGCATGACAGCACACTGCGGTTGGGGAGACAGCTGCGACGGCTCTCACGGCCGGCTTTGACAAAACTCGGCAAAACGAGAAAAAGGTCCCGCAAAATAAGCAAATTACGGCGCGAATCGCAATTCACTTTTATGTGCGGCCGGCGAGCGAGGGCTGTAAACGCCACCGGAGTGAAAATCATTTTCTCTCGCTCTACCGGTGACGCGCGCGCGTATGCGGCGGCGAGAAGGAAAAAAAATGACAGGCGTACGCATCATTCCGTACATAATTTCCTTTTCTTACTTGAACGCCTGAAAAAAAAAAACAGTAACGTTGAAGAAAAAAAGGGGGCGAGACTTGGCGGTGTGTGGCTAAGTATACGCTGCAGCCGCGCAGCGAGCAAGTTGATTCCAATCATCAAGCCAGAGCCGGCAGGCCGCAGGCCCGGGGAGAAATGATCTTGCCTCGTTCGGCAACACGTCTTCGGGGAGACTGGTGGCTGCAGTCTCACACTCCAGCAAAGGAGTCGGACTGACTCCAGCAAAGGTATGGGGCCTCGTGGCTCACGCCCGGCCCCTGGCAGAGGGCCCGCGAACGCGTTACTGCCGCTTCGGACACACCATTAGGCAGCCTCGGCGCCTCGAGGATTGATTCCGCCCCGCGTCTCCCTTGCACCCGCACCCAGACCCGCCAGAGTGCGACAAAGACAGACCGACAATTGTTCGGCACCATCCTGCTGCTGCATTCACAATCGCCCCTCCCCACCGCGGGTCCCAAAAACAGCGACGCCGGGGCAGTGACCAGAGGACAACGCTAGGCCCCTGAAGGGCCCGGCAAGCCCGCCCGGTTCCCTCTGCCTCCACGACATTATTTATCTGCTTGAGGTTTCCCCTCGGACGAATACGGCACCATCATCACGGCCCTCGAGTCAAGGCCCCTCGGGCAGCGGCCGGGCCCGGGCCGTGCCTCGACCCAGTCGTGTGTCTAGTCACCGACTAGTTAGTCGCCAGCTAGTTAGTCACTCGCAGTGACTGGCTCGGTAGCGCGTGAGGGAATGGACGGAGCCCGGGGCCCCGGGGCGTCGCGTGGGGCGTCGGGAAGGAGAGGGGACGCTCCAGGCGACGAAATGGCGTGCCCTATCTTCAGAGGACTCAAGGGAAATTTGGTCGAAACTGTGGTAAATGTCTGAAAATCGTAATTTCAACAAAAATTTCGGCGGCGACTGCGTACGATCCTGAGCGAAGTGGCCAATTATGGCCCCTTGCTGTTGAATTGATGTTTAAGCCGATTAGGTTTAAAATCAGTGTTTTCGGTTGGTGAAAAGCTGAAAGTCAAACATACATACTTATACAGAGTCACGTTTACAAGGAAGCTGTGCCTTCTTACCAAGACGAAGCCATCCTCTCACACGATAAGCGCACCTCTGTTTTGTAGCTGCAGAAAGAGACTCAAACAAGGGTCCGGCCAGAATCTCTACGAATTGCCTGCACACTGAAATTTAGGAATGTTGGGTAAGATTTACCAACTAACTGCTGAAGTATAGCGTAAAATATAATACAATCGTACCTCCCCTTTCTGACGATATTTTAATGCAATCCTCTACATTAATGCTCGATTTTATTTGCTCAAATCTCTCTAATGTACAGAAATTCTCCTCGTTCAATCCATCATGGAAAATGGATCTCGCTGCAACGTAAATATTTACATCGTTTAGACATTACATTCTGCACATTGCGGCAGTCTTGAAATTTTTTAGCTACTGTTAACCACGAAACTAATCCCACCCTCAACATTAATCAGAATAAGGTTATCATGCAAAACATCCGCAACCATACTCTGCACTACATCAAGTTGTTAGAGCTAAGAAAATCACAAATCTTCTTTCAGTAAAGGCTGATTTTATGGTGATCCCCGGTTTACATGTGCAATGCAGTGCAAAGATCGGGCGTCACGCGTAGAACCTTCTACAGTAGGAGTGTTAGAATGCTGATTATAAAGGAGCGCTTCCGTGCTCCTCAAAGTGAAAACTGCTGAGTTTTTAAACTTCTTAAATGAATAGGCCAAAAGACAAGATTCTTGAGCAACTAATTTGGTAGCCGCCTATCCGACCACCACGGCAGGGCAGGTCAGAGAGCATTAAGCTTCGCATTCACACCTCCAACTGTTGGCTGAGGGCAGGGTCGTGGTCAAACATCAGCCTTTACCGAAAGAATCTAGAAGATTCGTTCTACTCGTGCAACAAAAGAATGAAATGTTACATAATTTATTTTTAATAGTTGCCAACAATACACGTAACATTAATGAAAAAAACTGAAAACAGCAAAAAATGTTTACAAACTTGCAACAACTTATTTTAAAAAAAAAACAGAACTTTACAAAACTGGAATATACTTCGAAAAGATTAGATCTAGTTGTTGTTTAGTTTGTAAAAATATATGTAGCCCTTATTTGTAAGAAGCTCATTTTCTGTTACTTGCTGAACCTGTAAACAAATAAACCATAAAGAATTTTCTTGCTCGTGTTAAATCACATCCAATTTCTGAAGTATATTTCCCCAGTCACCTTATACAATTATGTTTTAAAAAGATAATGGGTTTAAGCGGAGCGCAATCGCCATAGGTGAGATTTAGGAGAGGTGGATAGGTTTCTCAATAGAGTTCCATGGTTCCCGCGACACATGCAATTCCGCGCGGGCAATATGCTACACACACGCCTGCACACACACTCAAACACGAGCGCGAGCGCATAGATCCATCACTTTGTTCTATAAAGTGTGATGTGCCGAAGAGGCAATTCAAATTCTACCGCGGGCAATAGAAAATGTTCTAGCGCCGAGACGGGAAATTCCTCATAAGCTAACGGAAATTTTTTTCTTGCTAAACTCAACAGGCCCAAATGAGCATGATTGTTTGTGATGGCTCTCAAAACCTTTGCATAGCACACCTGTGAATCATTGAACTGGTAAAACTTCTCGTTATTTTTCACGACAGTAACATAATGACCAATTTTTGATCTTTTGCCGCCATGCAGGATGGAACCAAACATTGAATAGTTGCATGGAGTGCCAGTCTCCATGAAATCACTGACACTTAATGTTTCTTGCACAGATATATTTTTAAAAATTTTTGTACCATTCGCATTAAATCTGCAAGAATAAAAATGGAAATAAATGAAGCAGAATGAAGCAGTTTATACAGGAACCGAATATGCATTGACAAAACGCATACCTCTTTAAGTAGCAGATTAAAACTTTCGGAGGCTCTCTTAATTTAAGTCTCTTTATTGCAGCAACCTGCGTTTTGCAACACATCGGGCAATTGTATTCATTGATTAACTCTGGAGTAAAGAAAATTTGTAGACAATCTTCCACTTTTGTGGCTTTTTCTAATGGGAGCGGTAGCAGACCGATTGGCTGTGTGGTAACGCTAGCCTTAGAACATGATGTGCAATGAACTGAAAACAAAAATATGACCACTAGAGAAGAGACTTCGAGAAGAGAAGAGACGAAAAGAAATGATTGAAGGATGTAAGAATACCGGTAAAATTCAAAGATAAACTCCGGCGGTATTTCGCTCTCCTTATTAAAGGTGACCCAAAGAAAGGTTCTTTCTACCCGTCGACGGAGTATGATTTTCCGCCGTGGTGAGTTGGGCGCAGTGGCAGGCTGAATTCCGCCCAAACTACGATCTCTATACATTTGTTCCCGTTTTGACCAAGTTGACGGCATTACTGCTGATATCAAAATGGGCATTTATATCTTAATTACTTTAAAACGGGGTTACTGGGGTCTGCCTTAAATACCGTATTTAACGGTGATATTACCGGCCCTTACATCCCAAAATCACTGTGAAGTTTAACAAAAAGAAAAACGAAAGTGACGAAATGCTTACTCTCGCATGTAAAGGAACCTTCTGTAATTGCTGAAATAGGCCCTTCGTTCACACCTTCCTGGACAACCCTGAGGAAAAAAAACAGGTTATCGAGAATACATGCCAAGCCTATTAAATCAGTTTGCGGAAGAATATGTAGTGCCAACAAACAAAGGACGATCACTAGACGCCGGGATGCTACAATGAAGCATGAGTTTAGTCCAAGGGGGTATGGACTCTAAAAACCTGTAACACTTTTAGCACGCTTTTACGCTTTAAGCCTTAAAATAATTGGAATTTACCATAAAACTCTCTAAAACACCCTAATTGGTAATTTTTTTTAAAAAAATTGGCTATTACTCTTTTATAAGGTTTCTACTACACTATTTACGCGTGCTATTACAGATTGACCCAACGCGAGTGAATACCCCCTTGCCTAAATCTGTGGTCTATACTCACTGTTCATCTGATATTCTGAGTAAAAACTCATCATTGAGTCTATTAAATAATATACAAAGAAACTCCTGTGCATCCTGTTGAACATTTATTTTATAGTCCTTCCAAAAACCTGATAAATCAAAGAAAAGATAAACATGAAAAGCAACGGAAACTTACAATTGCAAGCTAAACACACACGTGAGTCCCTCACAATTAAGGTTTGAAACTAATTTTTCTGGTGCGACTGCAGATTTTGAAGATTTGCTATCCAAGCAGAGGTAGTGTAAAGTGCAGGTAATGCAATCATCTTTGGTACAGCCAACTCTGTGATGAAAATCATTTTCAAGCCACTTGACGACGTCATTGTTGTGAAAAAGAGCCTAGAAGATTGAGGTTACACTAACTTAGTTGATGAGGTAAAAGCAGCGACAAAATACGGTACGTAAGCAACGGCACTGTTTGGGCAAGGCTGGATGAACAAAGAGGACACCCAAATAATGTTTCTTACCTGCAGAGTTGAGTTAAGGAAACACGTATTTCCTAAATTGAAAAACCCTGTGCCCACAAGAACACGGTCCCCTTCAAAGCAGCGACGAATTCCTTTACAGAAAAAAAATCATATGATAACCACAAAGAAAAAAAACGAAATAAATTAAAATAGTTTTTCAAAGTTTAATAATAACTGGACATGTTACAATAGTGGTTCAAAGAGCTGGTTAAATTGTGTGGGAGCACACTTAATGAATAAGTAATTTATAAAAGATCTCTGAAGTGTAAATGTGTGTACAGACTTCTTGACAGACCACGACTTTGAGACATTTCTTACAGCTTCGACCAAATTAGAGAAAAAAGTGTACCAATTTTTTCCAGAGGCATTTTAAAAAACGCTCTTTCAATATTTTTTGGAAGGTAAAGGGTCCTACAGGATGAACTTGCAAATTATAAAAATGCCATCTCATTATTTTTCAAGGTACTAAAGAAAAGATCTAAAATTACGTTTTTCGTGCACATTGGGCCTATTAGAAATTTTATTGAATAATACGTTTATATAGGGCAAACTAACCGCGCATCTGCTCAATCGAGATTAGTTTTGGACCATTTGGGCCGTTGACATTGTGAATCATTTTCAGGGATCCCTTAAGCCACGCCTGACACCCCTCCCCTTCCCCTCAAGCTATATTCCGCCTAGCCCGGTAGGCCCGCGGGCCGGAACGGGCACGCGGCGAAATTCGAAGCCGCAACCCGAGACGAGCGTTTGTTGTCCCAGTGGCATTACGGAAGCGGAGACCCCGGCCCGGCGGCCCGGCGCCCAGCCCAGGTGCTGACAGGCGCCCCTGCTTGTATTGTGTCTGAATCGGCAGACTCGGCAGCAACGCGCCGCAGTCGGATTCCCCGTTGGCAACAAGAGCACACCTTCTCCAGCAACGCAAAAACGACTTTGGTGTTTAACTGCCCGAATGACCTTCGGACGCCCTTGGCCAAAGGGCGGGCGCCCGTAAAACCACGTCGGGGCAACCGACTCAGTGAGTCACACCTACAACCAGGATTGCCGTGCAGGGCAGATGGTTACCAGAATAAGGTATCTTTTTAAAAGAAAATTAGAAAAAAATTGTTGAAGCAATCCACTTGCTCGCTGAACAAAGCTACCCACCAGTCTTAAAGAAATGAGATGACGTCACTAAGAACCTCGACGGCTCTCGCGCTACGTATGACCCCCAGCCGCCTGGGAGTCCAAGGCAACGAAACGCGCGTCTACACTTAATGTGAATTAAGACTCTCCCAGTCCCAATCAAAGAGTGCGTTTGTGGGCCACCGCCGAGGTGGCGCGCTTACAACACACACACACACAAACACACTTAGCACTTTCGCACGTGCGAGGTTACGTAAACCGTTTACCGGAGCACACTCTATTGTTGGGGGCGGTGCGCTGAGAACGCGGGGCCGCGCATGGCGAGGCGACGTGAGACTGGATCATCTCATCAGAGGTGTCTCAGCGGCCGGGCGGAGCGCGGCGGAGCGCGACAGGCTTTGCCCACTTCCTCTGCACGTAATGAGAACGCCAGGGACCGGGTTCGAGTCCCGGCGCCCGCCGTGTCACCCGCCACACCATCTGCGGCCGGCCAGCGCTTCAGATGCCATCAGCCCCAGGCTGGTCCGCTTTGCTCTGCCTCGTGGCCCCGCAGCAGCTGTGTCCAGGCGATCGATCACCCTCACGACCTCGTCGCCGACCTGGTCGGCGACCTGGTCGCCGGCCCACACGATGTGGAGTAGCACGCCGCAGCACGCCGCAGCACGGGGCGCAAAGGGGTTGCCCAATCCAAAATGATCAAGCAGGCACCGTTAATTGGTGAACACAAGAACATTGCAAGAAAGAAAGGGAGCTCACTCCAAATAACAGGTGCAACTCGAAGCAATTGCGCGGCACAGCGGCGCCTAGACCCGCTCGCTCAGGCACCCCGCCGCCAGGCAACCCAGCCGCCCGCCACCCCCCTCGGCGCTGCGGCAGGTGCATGGCCTGCGAAGCCTGCACGGCCTGCAAGGCACACAGGCCTAGGCACCTGTGCGCAGGTGTTGCGCCGGCCACGCGATCGGGCAGTGGCGGCGTCACGGAAGGAAGGGACGCGACCTGGCGTGCGTTCGTTTCCTCTTTTATACACGAGTCTTAGGTTTGCCTCAACACAGGCATCCAGTAAAAAGGATTCTATTCCAGGACAGAAAAAGCACGGCAGTAATTAAATCTGCAAGACAGCAACTTAATTTGCATTTTTGTTTTTGTAAAAAAAGGAATTGGAACTTAGAAAAAGCATTGAAGAGAGTAATCATAAAATGCATGCAAGTCCAGTGCCCCGACACGAGCACCGGGACACGAGCGGTGGACAACTGCTCACCCCATTCACGCGTCAGCAGCACTTGTCGGCATGTCCACACAGCATACCTGCGAGGAAAAAACTTGTTAAACATGATGCGATAATTTGCCGGACGTCCAACGACTCGCGGCCAGAGCCTGCCGCCGCGGGCGTTTCCTGCAAGATCATCGTTTTCGTCTTTCCTTGGGATGCAGTTAATGTCAGCAAATGTCTTGCCACTTTTTTCGACCTCTTGTCCAAATGGAAATCCATTGGCACTTCATATTAACATTCTCTATTAGAGCACGGAATCATAAAAAAAAAATTGGGGCCGCTTCCAACAGCGGCAATATTTGCTAACTCTGCCTCATCCTATTATCCGGAAGCGTGTGGTCAGACGCTGGCCGAGCCGGGTACGAGCCACAGGGGGTGACAGCAAAGCGACATCCAAGCGACAGAGCAATGCGCCGCGCTGGTCAGACGTGGTCACGCCCGTGATGGCCGTCCGCGACCAGTGGAACCAGTGGAACGGACACTCAGGACATCCCCCTCGTTCACCTCCAGTAAACATACACAACAATCATACTTTCACTCGCCGCCATTTTTATCTCGCTATCGATTGCATAGAGCGGCGGATATCGGAAGCCCGAAGATATATTGACGCCTGTGACTGTCTGGTCGCCTTGCGTGGCGTTGCAGGGTCCCGAGGCTCGCACGAGCCGAGCGCAGCCGAGCCGAGCGTGGCTGAGCCAAGCCGAGCCGAGCCGGCCGCTGGTCCAGGTGACAGGGAGGCTGATTCATGCTCTGCGCCGAGCCTGGCCGTGCCGTTGTTCAAACGCCTTAGAATGTTTTCGGCCCAATGCAGCGAGGTAGCCCTTATCACAGCACCACGATTTATACACAAACACGGCAAGCGCAAACGAGCGAAAGTCCAACGGCAGCAACAACCAGAGCACACGGCGGCCGAAAAGGCGGAAAGGCAGCCAATTGAGAAGTCCGATTGTTTGATTGGATCGTTGGTAACCACGGTAACCGATAGCGCGCCCTACTCTGCGCTGACCCCGATTTGACCCACGCGTTGCATAATCTAATTGTGCGCGTGTGTGAGTGTAAATGCGGCGTGTGTGTGAGCGCGGGCACACCTGCGGAACACGAAGAACCTCGAAGACACCGTGTGGGAGAGAGACAGACGTTACACAATGACGATGGGGAGTACACAGGCTCTCATCGCGCGCGCGTGTTCCGGACCAGATCCTCAATCTGGAGATAAGAGCCCTCAGTCGCACGACGGGGGTGGCCCGGTGCGCCTGCGCCCCAACTTCTTCCTCGATCACAAGCCGAACGACGGAGCTGACTCCCTTCAGATTCTGAGATTATCTGTCTCAGCAGTCCAGCCAGCTCATCGCGCACAATACTTGCCAGTAAATTAACTCCAAATGCGTCTCAATTGTCAAAAATCCTAGTTACTGAGCATTAAAAGAAAGCTTTTTATTCCAGCACCGTTCCGAAACGCCGTCGGCCAGGCCAGACTCACGTCTCTGGACCAGAACCTGCATTGCTTTTGTGACGAGGAAAAAGTTGGGCAAACGGGCGAATTAAAGGCTGCGCGCGTAAACGGTCCGGGATAAGCTATCGCCAAGACGCCTGGTTGCCCTGGTTCACGCAGGAAACAGGAAGTGTACACAGAGTGTCGCGCAGACGCCCCGCCACCCCGCACAGGAAGGGGTCATCAACATCAGGATGATAGCCCGCCCATCCCTTGTTGCTCTATGCCTGACAGCAAAAATTTGTCACTACCGATAAGTAATGCCGATAAGAACCTTTTAAAAGCCTTTTAAAGTTTCATGAAAGTTTAGTGGTGGCATGGCTATGACACGACATTTAGGAGGCGAATTCAATAAAATGTTTGATTTTTGACAGGAAAATGATTTAACAGTAATCGTAAAGCTATTCTCTCTTACCTTTGCAAACCCAGTGTCTGACACGGGAAACGTATCTTTGTTTTTCTACCATAGATAATGACGGGAACAATTCACCAGCCAAAGACTCTACCAATTCACGGCACACTGAAAACAAAGAATGGCCAGTGCAACTTACAGCCCGAAATAAAAAGGCCCAGAAATAAGAGCGTACCTTGCCTTTCTGTTGACCCCGCGATGCGTTCAGCAAGATTCATACCGGATGTAACCTCTAAGAATCTTTCGATGGTACAAAAATTGGATAGGTCTAAGCGAGGGTTGCAGTTTTCAGTGGCAATCTCTTCCGCTGAAAGACAGAAATATAATTATATTACGATGTACACTGTGTCACCCTTAAATTTTTCAATGTTAACCATCGTGACACTGGACTCTAAACTAGCCCGCACCTCTTATCAGCAAACGACAAGCACTTACTTCCCACTACTCCCGGTACTAGAGATAGGCCAACAGCCAAGTTCGAATCTGAACGAACAAGAACACTTCCAACGTCCAAAGCCTGACGAACCAAACTGAATAAGATTCTAATGACATTGTCAGTCTTCCTTCCAACTACTTCGATAAAACCTTTTATAATTTAAGTTTTCTATGTTTTTATTTATCTTGTTACACGGACTAGGGCGTGCATTTGGGCACGATCGTAATCTGTTCAAATTAACGGTGTTCGAGGTCGAACACCGCGAGTTCGAGCGATCCTAACAGGCCGCTGTTCGTTCCAGTTCGTTCGAATGCGAACATGTTCACACATCTCTACCCAGCACCGGACCAAGCAACTAGGCCGACTACATTATCTACTATGTTGCAGATTATTTACCAACAAAACGTACAACAATAACCAGTACCGGTAGATATGATGACAAAACAACTCGTCTCTTTAAATCTTTTTAATTCTTTAAAAAAGCATTGTATTCGATTTTACAAATTAATTTTCGAAAAAAGTTTGAGGAGACAAAAAAGGTAGAAAAATTAAACAAATTACAGGCTTTCTCTCCTATTTCCTTATCTTACTTAAACTTACTCAAAATAATAATAATACTTCAACAAATTACAGGCTATAAAACCATTTTTCCCTTACTTAAACTTACTTAAACTTACTCAAAATAATAATAATTTTAAAAATAACAGGCTATAAAACCATTTTTCCCTTACTTAAACTTACTCAAAACAATAATAATTTAACAAATTACAGGCTATAAAACCATTTTTCCCACTTTACTCAACATCACAACCTCAACTTCCATTGACAGCAAGTAGAGCCTTCACTGAAATTTTCATCATGATTTTTTCTCTTTGCCTGGAAGAAAGAAAAGTATCAGCCTTTTTACAAGGAGAGATGTATGCATACATGGCATTATAAACAAACGAATATGTAATAAATGGCAAATGGAAGAGATAATAGAATAGTTTCGCTGTGTGATAATGACTTTACTGTTGATAATGGTAAAAATGATTCTTGTCAGAAAAGATTTATGAAAGTCATGTTTTTTGCGGTAAAAATGGTCTGTAATTATAAAAGCGCTGTGCAATACTTGTGAGTTTCTTTCAAAGGATTGGTAGGCATGAAATGGCCTTATGAACTTTGTGGTTGTTCTGTAATTCATGGAGTACAGTTTGGAAAATAGGCCGATCCTGATCAAAAAGAAAACCCATGGGACGTCCAGTAGTGAGGCCAGGTGCGACAAAGTTGGTGCGCGGTCAGTGATTTAAAATAAAAAAACGCGGGTCGGGCAAGAGGAGAAGACGTCGCCGAGAGGAACGAAGACTCCGCGGCGGTCAATGCCGTTTTTACCGCGACTTCCTTTCCAGGGGCTGACGTCCACGTCCATGCCTGGAGGCGCGTTTTCCTCTTTTTTCAATCCCAGGCTCTGCAACTACTCATACACGTGCCCGCAGCACTGCCGGCCATCGGAGAGCCATCGGCAAGCCATCGGCCATCGATCTCAGATTAGCTCCTACGACTCCATGCACCTGCAACATTGTTTATTTGAAGCCAGCCTCCCTTGTACGGACGCCTGCCTAATTGTGACTAGCAGCTGTCCGACGAGGGTCTTAAATTGGCAATAAACCTATCCCGGCGCAGCACGCGCGGGGCCCGCGGCTAGGCTAGCCGGTTCAAATTCCACGCATTCATCCTTCATAGGATGAAAGCGGTGCAGAAAAACGCTTTAAAAAATCCTTGGCCAGAATCGAAAAATTTCAAGATTCAACCGCGACGGTGTGCACGAAGTTTCGCGTTTCCTCGCCAGGTGGTGGACTCAGACAGGCTGGCGCACCCGACCTACCGACTGACCTGGTGCCGCAAAAAAACTGCCTGCAGGAGGTGGCGAAGGTCAGGGCCGCGGCCCGTCCGTGCGGCACCGCGGCCCAGCGCGCCAGGGGCACGGCGTCGAGGCCGTGTCGGAGGACATAAACTTTGGGCTCAGTGCCGCTCGCCAGCAGGGCCGGGCCCCGCGGCTTGCCGGCGATTTGACCGCGCCGTTCCGCGCCGTTAAGTGGCCGACAAGTGCCCCGGCCAGATGCCATCACTCGTCACATCCCATCGAGGATCCCCCGGTTATTAACTTTTTTCTTGCCGCAAGTAGAGTGTGTCGCTGGCGCGCTCGCCGGGCCGCGCAGAGGATCTGCATACTGCATGAAGCCGATATCGAGCTATCCAGGGCGGCAATGGCATCCTGCGACCACCGCGGCGCGACGCGTCGCGCTCAGCAGCCTGCTTCCGAACTGCACTGTCTCGGTCGCACTAGGGGGCGTTCCGTAGCGGTGCGAGGGAGACGGAGCCCTGTTCGGAAAGGGACGACGAAACCGGCTCGGCTGCCGTTCGGCTAATGGCGGAGTGTCGCGGCTCGGCCGGGCTCGGGGCCACCGAAGGGATCAGCGGCTAAGTCGTTTTCCCTGTAGGACAAAACTGCCCCAATTTCTCACGCTTGCTCCGCTCATCCGACGGATCGACAAATAATCACAGCGGAGGTCTCACTCCAAACAAGAAACTTGTTCCGTTTCCGCTGGCTTCGCGGACCGGAATTAACAACCCATAACACACGGCTTTAGACCACTTTTTGCTCCCCGTAAGAGCGGGCCGGGCCGATTTTCGCGGACCGAGTTCGACACACGCTGTTTCCCACGAGGGCCGGCCCCGCCCTGGCCCGGTGCCCGGCGCCTCTCTCCGACGGAAAGCATTCTTAGTGCCGCACTAGCGTTCGGCATGCATGTGCGGCCCGTGCCTGGGAGCGTCCCACACTTTATGGTCCTCCTAGGGAAATGAAAAGGCCAACGGCCGCTTAAGCCAGAATGTAGCGCAGTTTTTTTTGTTCCAAGGTGTCTCTAGCAGGTAGGTGTTGGAGATGGCTGTACCACCTTAGCGCCGTACTGGCTAGGCCGCCCGCCGCGCGCGCCTGTTCCACGGGACGGCCCGCCCCACAGGCGATCCTTTCTCGCGCGTCGATGAAAGTGGCGGTGTGACGTGACGGACGCAAAGCAAGGCGTCATGATCTTTCTCCGGTTTGTCACGGCCGGGACGCCGTCAATGATCACCGCGCGGATAATGCAATTTGGCGCCTTATGCAAGGCGAGGGCCGGAGGGACGCACAATGTGAGGGGAGAGAGAGGCGATGGGCCACCTCCTCGGGCAGCGGAGAGAGTGTGCTAATCAGAGTATGGCCCGGTGACAACCGTGCACTTTCAATCAGAAGGGGCGCCGATGATGCCCCCGGGGCCACCCGCCACCGGGCCGCCCGCCACGCCCCGCCAGCTACCGGGACACACACACACACACACACACACACACAGTGGCGTTGTGTCACGTCACTGTGTGCGGCATGCACTTAGCACGCTCGGCATGGTGATGTAAACCCACTTCCAAGCTAATCACCCAGACGCCCCTCCCGCGCCAAAATGGACCTTCACACAGAGCAGCCAACTTCCCACTAAAATTCAGCAGTACTGTTAGGAGGAATCGCAGCCGCGCTGGTGACAAAATATAAGCCGTCCGGCTGTTCCCGCAACAGCCATAGAGGAGGGGGAGGGAGAGAGGCGATAGACCACACCCGCTAAGGGCAGCGGGCAGGCTAGCCAGCCGGATGCATTTCGTGCGGGATGTTTGCAGGGCACTGTGAGCGCGGCAGCGCGGCCTAGGCGTAGCGGGCGTAAGCGGAGCGTAAGCGGGCACGGCACGGCACGGCCAGAGACACGCTAATGCGGGCTTTTCAATGGTCGTGGGACTGCGGCACGGCACGGCACGGCAAGGCGCCTTCATACGGGATAAGGGGAGAAATCCCCGTCGACCACGCAAGATACTCCCGAACGGGGGAAAATGGGGCATTTTCAAGCGAAAGGAAAGTGCCGTGGAGTGACGTTTTTTTCCGGAGCCTCATCCACGCACTAAAAGGGGAACATCCTGCGCTGCTCGGCCAGCCGGGGCACTGTCGGGGCAAGACAAGTGGACGGAAAAAGGTGTAGGGGTTCGCCCGACCACCCGCGTGGCACAACAAAGCCCACCCTGGCTCACAAGGGAACGTTTTCAGGTGTCAGGAGCCGATTGCTCCCGTACTTCGGGATCTTAAAGACCACCTTAAAAAAGAATTTTCGGCACCCACAGTTCGTGCTGAAAGTCACTACAACGCCCTAAAATGAAAGTTGAAAATTTACCAATTTTCATAAACTTGACCAAAAAATTTATCTTTAAAGAACGTCCATGAAAGCAGATGATTCTTAGTTCCCGACGAAAAAATTTAAGAGCAGAAATTACAATTTGCCATGGTAATTGTTTTAGTTTGAAAAGGTCTTATGAATTTTCCCAGCCTATTAAAAATTGAAAATGAAATAAATTGGATCAGAAGAGGCTTTCCAAGGACCCACAGCACCGTGCGGGACACCATTACCCCTGCCACACCGCAGGACCTCTGACCATCCGAGCCTATCCTTTCCTCGTTTCGTTGTTTTTGGGGGTGGAGCACAAATACCCCAGGACATCTCGCAAGTGCCCGCGCCCGCGTACAAGCTCAGTGGGGCTGGCTAGGAGGGTCATCGGAGACGGTGCTCGGAAGCGGCCTTCTGGCATTGCGAGAGACTCTGAAGAGGCAACTCGCTCGCTTGCCCTCGCTAGACTTAACCTCATTTTTTTTTTTTTTTTTTTTTTTTTTTTTTTTTTTTTTTTTTTTTTTTTTTTTTTTTTTTTTTTTTTTTTTTTTTTTTTTTTTTTTTTTTCCCCCCCCCCCCCCCCCCCCCCCCCCCCCCCCCCCCCCCCCCCCCCCCCCCCCCCCCCCCCCCCCCCCCCCCCCCCCCCCCCCCCCCCCCCCCCCCCCCGTCGGCTCCTGACACCTGAAAACGTTCCCTTGTCAGTCCCAGTCCCAGGCCATCCCCG